AGTTGTACATCTGTAAAAAGTTGAATTGTCAAAAGTTATGTGATATATTTACAACACAAGGGGAAGAAAATAGTTGCTGAAGCTGCTTATATACAGCCAAATACCTCATGTGATTTGATTTTTGATTTTTGAGATTTAGAGTCATGGTTTCATGAGGCATCCAGTTAATTGACATAATAATGTGTTCAGTGCTTCTGTTCTACTTTTAGATAATTGTGTCATTTCTAGGTTATTAGAAGTGTGCAGGTGTTCATCCAAGTCACAACGATTGGGCTCTATTTGTCTGAAGCAACAAAGCAAGAAGGAGAGTTTGGAATAGGAGGAGGATAGAAACCCAGTTAATTTTTGTTTATTGTCGTTGTACCCTACAACTTTGCTATATTCTTCTGATTACCTTTATGAAAAGCTGCATCATTTGCCATGAGACAAGTAGATAGTGTCTGGCTATCATTACTGAACATATTGATAGAAGATTCTATAGATGAATCCTGATCACAAAGAGGAGAGGGGATGCAGAACAGAATTTCAAATTATCATGAACTCTGGACTTTCTAGACTTCTGGTGTGGATAAGCACTAGTCTGTGAACTACAAAGTCAGCAGTTCAAACCTACCAGCTGCTCCTTGGAAACCCTATACAGGATTGCTGAGTCTGAACCAACTCAGTGGCACTTAACAACAATAGCAACAACTAGACTTTCTAGAACAATCAAAGTGGATGAATCCCTAAAACTATTGCCTTGAAATCATCTTTAAACCTTAAATCAAAAGTATCTACTGATGTCAAAACTAGTTTAGTTTACCTTATAAAAAAGGTTTGCTGGTATGTTGCTGTAGGATCAACTTTGTGTACCACAAAGTTGGTAGTTCAAACCCACCAACTGTTCCTCAGAAATCCTATATAAGGTCACTATGAGAACCAACTTAACAGCTCTTAACAACAACACAGGGCTAAAGAGAATAGAGGTAAATAGTACACAACCTTGGAACTGTAAGCTCTGCAGTTAGATACAGGAACAGAGACATAGACTGAATGAGTATGGAAGGAAGAGTGGAAGTATATCCACAAATATTATAAGACTTTGGAGGAGGATATCTGTACATGGCATTCATCTGTCCTCCAAACACAGCTATGAATGTGGTGGAGCCTACAGTGGTTAAAATGATGAAAATTTCTTAGATATTATCAAACATTTTAAGATAATGAGTTTCTCGGCCTGGGAATTTAGGACCATAGTCTTGGGACACCATGGTCAAGTGGTATAACAGAGTCCACAAAGACAATGCTCTACATCTAACGTTAGTGAGTAGCATCTGGGATCTTAAAAACTCATGAGTAGCCATCTTGTTGTTATGTGCCATGGAGTCGGTTACGACTTATAGCGACCCTGTACAGGGTTTCTGAGGCTGTAAATCTTTATGGGAGCAGAAAGCGTCATTTTTCTCCTGTGGAACAGCTGGTAGTTTCGAACTGCTGACCTTGCAGTTCACAGCCCGATTCGTAACCACTATGCACTATGTGGCCGACTGATTGGAAGAGATCCATATTTGTGCCCATTACAAAGAGCAGTGACCCAACGGAATTCTGAAATCATTGGACAATCTCTTTGATATCTCAAGCGAGTAAAGTTTTGCTCAAGGTAATACAGAAATGGCT